CTCTTGAGTCGACGCACAAGGCAGCGCACGGGCATTAGCAGTGGATGGGCACGACATGTGAGACTCACGAGCAGTGGAAGGGCTTCTCCCCCGTGTGCGTGCGCAGGTGGCTCTTGAGTCGACGCACAAGGCAGCGCACGGGCATTAGCAGTGGATGGGCACGACATGTGAGACTCACGAGCAGTGGAAGGGCTTCTCCCCCGTGTGCGTGCGCAGGTGGCTCTTGAGTCGACGCACAAGGCAGCGCACGGGCATTAGCAGTGGATGGGCACGACATGTGAGACTCACGAGCAGTGGAAGGGCTTCTCCCCCGTGTGCGTGCGCAGGTGGCTCTTGAGTCGACGCACAAGGCAGCGCACGGGCATTAGCAGTGGATGGGCACGACATGTGAGACTCACGAGCAGTGGAAGGGCTTAGTGGATGGGCACGACATGTGAGACTCACGAGCAGTGGAAGGGCTTCTCCCCCGTGTGCGTGCGCAGGTGGCTCTTGAGTCGACGCACAAGGCAGCGCACGGGCATTAGCAGTGGATGGGCACGACATGTGAGACTCACGAGCAGTGGAAGGGCTTCTCCCCCGTGTGCGTGCGCAGGTGGCTCTTGAGTCGACGCACAAGGCAGCGCACGGGCATTAGCAGTGGATGGGCACGACATGTGAGACTCACGAGCAGTGGAAGGGCTTCTCCCCCGTGTGCGTGCGCAGGTGGCTCTTGAGTCGACGCACAAGGCAGCGCACGGGCATTAGCAGTGGATGGGCACGACATGTGAGACTCACGAGCAGTGGAAGGGCTTCTCCCCCGTGTGCGTGCGCAGGTGGCTCTTGAGTCGACGCACAAGGCAGCGCACGGGCATTAGCAGTGGATGGGCACGACATGTGAGACTCACGAGCAGTGGAAGGGCTTCTCCCCCGTGTGCGTGCGCAGGTGGCTCTTGAGTCGACGCACAAGGCAGCGCACGGGCATTAGCAGTGGATGGGCACGACATGTGAGACTCACGAGCAGTGGAAGGGCTTCTCCCCCGTGTGCGTGCGCAGGTGGCTCTTGAGTCGATGCACAAGGCAGCGCACGGGCATTAGCAGTGGATGGGCACGACATGTGAGACTCACGAGCAGTGGAAGGGCTTCTCCCCCGTGTGCGTGCGCAGGTGGCTCTTGAGTCGACGCACAAGGCAGCGCACGGGCATTAGCAGTGGATGGGCACGACATGTGAGACTCACGAGCAGTGGAAGGGCTTCTCCCCCGTGTGCGTGCGCAGGTGGCTCTTGAGTCGACGCACAAGGCAGCGCACGGGCATTAGCAGTGGATGGGCACGACATGTGAGACTCACGAGCAGTGGAAGGGCTTCTCCCCCGTGTGCGTGCGCAGGTGGCTCTTGAGTCGACGCACAAGGCAGCGCACGGGCATTAGCAGTGGATGGGCACGACATGTGAGACTCACGAGCAGTGGAAGGGCTTCTCCCCCGTGTGCGTGCGCAGGTGGCTCTTGAGTCGACGCACAAGGCAGCGCACGGGCATTAGCAGTGGATGGGCACGACATGTGAGACTCACGAGCAGTGGAAGGGCTTCTCCCCCGTGTGCGTGCGCAGGTGGCTCTTGAGTCGATGCACAAGGCAGCGCACGGGCATTAGCAGTGGATGGGCACGACATGTGAGACTCACGAGCAGTGGAAGGGCTTCTCCCCCGTGTGCGTGCGCAGGTGGCTCTTGAGTCGACGCACAAGGCAGCGCACGGGCATTAGCAGTGGATGGGCACGACATGTGAGACTCACGAGCAGTGGAAGGGCTTCTCCCCCGTGTGCGTGCGCAGGTGGCTCTTGAGTCGACGCACAAGGCAGCGCACGGGCATTAGCAGTGGATGGGCACGACATGTGAGACTCACGAGCAGTGGAAGGGCTTCTCCCCCGTGTGCGTGCGCAGGTGGCTCTTGAGTCGACGCACAAGGCAGCGCACGGGCATTAGCAGTGGATGGGCACGACATGTGAGACTCACGAGCAGTGGAAGGGCTTCTCCCCCGTGTGCGTGCGCAGGTGGCTCTTGAGTCGACGCACAAGGCAGCGCACGGGCATTAGCAGTGGATGGGCACGACATGTGAGACTCACGAGCAGTGGAAGGGCTTCTCCCCCGTGTGCGTGCGCAGGTGGCTCTTGAGTCGACGCACAAGGCAGCGCACGGGCATTAGCAGTGGATGGGCACGACATGTGAGACTCACGAGCAGTGGAAGGGCTTCTCCCCCGTGTGCGTGCGCAGGTGGCTCTTGAGTCGACGCACAAGGCAGCGCACGGGCATTAGCAGTGGATGGGCACGACATGTGAGACTCACGAGCAGTGGAAGGGCTTCTCCCCCGTGTGCGTGCGCAGGTGGCTCTTGAGTCGACGCACAAGGCAGCGCACGGGCATTAGCAGTGGATGGGCACGACATGTGAGACTCACGAGCAGTGGAAGGGCTTCTCCCCCGTGTGCGTGCGCAGGTGGCTCTTGAGTCGACGCACAAGGCAGCGCACGGGCATTAGCAGTGGATGGGCACGACATGTGAGACTCACGAGCAGTGGAAGGGCTTCTCCCCCGTGTGCGTGCGCAGGTGGCTCTTGAGTCGACGCACAAGGCAGCGCACGGGCATTAGCAGTGGATGGGCACGACATGTGAGACTCACGAGCAGTGGAAGGGCTTCTCCCCCGTGTGCGTGCGCAGGTGGCTCTTGAGTCGACGCACAAGGCAGCGCACGGGCATTAGCAGTGGATGGGCACGACATGTGAGACTCACGAGCAGTGGAAGGGCTTCTCCCCCGTGTGCGTGCGCAGGTGGCTCTTGAGTCGATGCACAAGGCAGCGCACGGGCATTAGCAGTGGATGGGCACGGCATGTGAGACTCACGAGCAGTGGAAGGGCTTCTCCCCCGTGTGCGTGCGCAGGTGGCTCTTGAGTCGACGCACAAGGCAGCGCACGGGCATTAGCAGTGGATGGGCACGACATGTGAGACTCACGAGCAGTGGAAGGGCTTCTCCCCCGTGTGCGTGCGCAGGTGGCTCTTGAGTCGACGCACAAGGCAGCGCACGGGCATTAGCAGTGGATGGGCACGACATGTGAGACTCACGAGCAGTGGAAGGGCTTCTCCCTGGTGTGCGTGCGCAGGTGGCTCTTGAGTCGACGCACAAGGCAGCGCACGGGCATTAGCAGTGGATGGGCACGACATGTGAGACTCACGAGCAGTGGAAGGGCTTCTCCCCCGTGTGCGTGCGCAGGTGGCTCTTGAGTCGACGCACAAGGCAGCGCACGGGCATTAGCAGTGGATGGGCACGACATGTGAGACTCACGAGCAGTGGAAGGGCTTCTCCCCCGTGTGCGTGCGCAGGTGGCTCTTGAGTCGACGCACAAGGCAGCGCACGGGCATTAGCAGTGGATGGGCACGACATGTGAGACTCACGAGCAGTGGAAGGGCTTCTCCCCCGTGTGCGTGCGCAGGTGGCTCTTGAGTCGACGCACAAGGCAGCGCACGGGCATTAGCAGTGGATGGGCACGACATGTGAGACTCACGAGCAGTGGAAGGGCTTCTCCCCCGTGTGCGTGCGCAGGTGGCTCTTGAGTCGACGCACAAGGCAGCGCACGGGCATTAGCAGTGGATGGGCACGACATGTGAGACTCACGAGCAGTGGAAGGGCTTCTCCCCCGTGTGCGTGCGCAGGTGGCTCTTGAGTCGACGCACAAGGCAGCGCACGGGCATTAGCAGTGGATGGGCACGACATGTGAGACTCACGAGCAGTGGAAGGGCTTCTCCCCCGTGTGCGTGCGCAGGTGGCTCTTGAGTCGACGCACAAGGCAGCGCACGGGCATTAGCAGTGGATGGGCACGACATGTGAGACTCACGAGCAGTGGAAGGGCTTCTCCCCCGTGTGCGTGCGCAGGTGGCTCTTGAGTCGACGCACAAGGCAGCGCACGGGCATTAGCAGTGGATGGGCACGACATGTGAGACTCACGAGCAGTGGAAGGGCTTCTCCCCCGTGTGCGTGCGCAGGTGGCTCTTGAGTCGACGCACAAGGCAGCGCACGGGCATTAGCAGTGGATGGGCACGACATGTGAGACTCACGAGCAGTGGAAGGGCTTCTCCCCCGTGTGCGTGCGCAGGTGGCTCTTGAGTCGATGCACAAGGCAGCGCACGGGCATTAGCAGTGGATGGGCACGACATGTGAGACTCACGAGCAGTGGAAGGGCTTCTCCCCCGTGTGCGTGCGCAGGTGGCTCTTGAGTCGACGCACAAGGCAGCGCACGGGCATTAGCAGTGGATGGGCACGACATGTGAGACTCACGAGCAGTGGAAGGGCTTCTCCCCCGTGTGCGTGCGCAGGTGGCTCTTGAGTCGACGCACAAGGCAGCGCACGGGCATTAGCAGTGGATGGGCACGACATGTGAGACTCACGAGCAGTGGAAGGGCTTCTCCCCCGTGTGCGTGCGCAGGTGGCTCTTGAGTCGACGCACAAGGCAGCGCACGGGCATTAGCAGTGGATGGGCACGACATGTGAGACTCACGAGCAGTGGAAGGGCTTCTCCCCCGTGTGCGTGCGCAGGTGGCTCTTGAGTCGACGCACAAGGCAGCGCACGGGCATTAGCAGTGGATGGGCACGACATGTGAGACTCACGAGCAGTGGAAGGGCTTCTCCCCCGTGTGCGTGCGCAGGTGGCTCTTGAGTCGACGCACAAGGCAGCGTACGGGCATTAGCAGTGGACGGGCACGACATGTGAGACTCACGAGCAGTGGAAGGGTTTCTCTCCCGTGTGCGTGCGCAGGTGGCCGTGCAGCGAGTTGACTCACAAGGCAAGTAACAGGCAAGCAGGTCTTAAGTTGACTCAAAAGGCAGGTGTGACTCACGAGCAGTGAAAGGGTTTCTCTCCCGTGTGCGTGCGCAGGTGGCCATGCAGTGAGTTGGTCCACTTGAACGTCTTCTCACACCCCTCCCACGGGCACTGCAACGGCCGCTCGTCGCTGTGCGTGCGCTGATGCACCACCTGCTTGTTTCAGTTAGGGGGGAAAGGGGGTTGTAGGGGATGAGGGAACGGAGGAAAGAAAGTAAAGGTAACCTCCCACGGGTACTGCAACGGCCTCTCCTCGCTGTGCGTGCGCTGATGCACCACCTGAGGGAGGGGGAAGGGTTGGAGAGGAAGGGAGAGGGAGTGAGGAAAGGGAGTGTGAAAGTGATAAGCCTCCTCTGTTTTGAGAGGTCACAAAGAGCAGGGGGGCGAGCAGCACATGAGAGGACAGAGAGGCGAGCAAGGGCAGAGACTGAACCAGTGATCCGCGTCTCCTTCAACTCACCAGCCGTTCTCTGAAGGCGAACCGCTTCCCACACCCCGGCACCGCACACGCGTGCAAGCACTCGTGCTTCTTCACATGCCGGCCCAGCAGCTGCCTGGTGGCCATGCGCTCGCCACAGCCGTGCACGGAGCACTGGTAGGGGCGCTGCCCCGAGTGCTCGTTCAGGTGGTCCCTCAGCGACCCTGGTGTGGCAAACTTGCGCGGGCAACTGGTGTGTGGGCAGATGTGTGCTCGCTCGCTCGCTGCTATCAGCCTCTTGGTCTCCTGTAGCATCTGAGCATGGGAGGGGATGAAATGGAGAGAGGCGGAGAGGCAGAGAGGCAGGGAGGCGGGAATGAGAGAGGCAGAAAAAGGGCAGCTGGTGTGTGGCCACATGTGTGCTCGCTCGCTCGCTGCTATCAGCCTCTTGGTCTCCTGTAGCATCTCCGGCGAAAGTTGGGAATGTGAGAGGCAGAGAGAGAGAGAGTGCATGGCTCAGGTCCCTACCATCATCCCCCTCCCTGCCACAACTCCCCCTTCTCCGCTCACCTGCTCAATCTGAGCCATTGTCTGTCAGCTCCTCCCACGGCGACTGCAGCAACTCTCCACCCGCCTGCACTCGCCCCTTGACACTATGATCATCACCTACCTAACCCTACCATCATCCCTTCAATGCCACAACCCCCTCCCCTCCCATCTCACCTGCTCCATCTGAGCCACTGTCAGCTCCTCCCAAGGCGTCTCCTGCAACCCGCCACCTGCCTCTCCTCCCCCTGCTGCATGTGCGCCCTGTTGTGCCCCTTGGCCCCCCTCTGCTCCTCGTGCCCCTTGGACCCCCTCTGCTCCTCGTGCCCCTTGGACCCCCTCTGCTCCTCGTGCTCCCTGCACCACTCTGTCTGCCCCGTGTGTCCCCTCACTTGCGCTACCAGTCATAGCAGACTGAGCAGCAACAGCAGCACCATCACCACCAGTGCTAGCAGACGCGCCGCCCCCTGGCCCTGCGGCCATGCCAGCAGCCTCCAGAGCCATGCGGTATGTCATTGCCAGCTCGCACGCATCTGACCCTCTCAGCTGCTCCGGCCTGCACTCAGGGGGAAAGGTATGGGGGAAAGGAGCGGAAGACAGGGAGCATGGGGAAGGGGAGGATGCGTGTGCTTCTCCCAGAGCCATGCGGCATGTCATTGCTAGCTCGTATGCATCTGATCCCCTCAGCTGCTCCGGCCTGCAAATGGGCCAAACAGGTGGTGCAAGGAAGTTGCTTGTCTGGTACTTTGGACAGAAGAGGCCAACCCGACCACAATCACTGTCACACCCGATTAAATCAATTGACCACTCACTTCTTCATAGCCCGCTCATTTCAATGTCCCACCGACTCACTTCCTTGACCCACCCATGCCATTCTCCCACTCACTGGATTCGCTTCCACTTGGACAGAGCCAGCCTGCGCGAGAGAGACGCCCCCCTCCCCTTCACGCCCGCCCTCTCCCCCTCCCCCTTGCCCCCTTCCTTCTCCGCCCCCCCTCTCCCCCGCCCGCACCCACCTCCCCTCACCGCCCTCTCTCCTCCCCCACCTCCCCCACCTCCCCCACCTCTCCCGCTCTCTCCCACCTCATCGTCTCCACTGTCTCGTGCCCCCTCCTCCTGTCCCCTTGCATTCCTCTCCTCCTGCCCACCACTCCGGCCCCCTCTCATTCCTCCCTCTTCTCCCAACCACTCCATACATGCACCATCGTCAGCACCATCACATGCACCCCCATTCCCCTCCCCCTCCCTCCCCACCTGCTCCCCCTCCGCCCCCTCTCCCCTCTCCCGCCCTGAATTATGCGCTCTCTCTCCCCACACCTCTCCCCCCACCTCCCCCCCATCCATCTCCCCACGCTCCACTCGCCTCCTCTTTGCTCTCTGCTGCTCCACTTCCCCACCAGCACCGTCTGTCCCACACCGCTCTCCTCCCCTCGGCCCTCCCTTATCCCCCCTGCAACCTGCTCCCCTTCCGCTCCCCCTCATACCCTCTTCCCCCTCTCTCCCACTGTTCCCTGCCCTCTCTCGCTGCCCTGTTCTGAACCCTCTGCTCTGTCCTGCTTCCTGCCCCACACCACCGCTCCCCCACTCCATGCCGGTATGCCCCCCTGTGGCGGCAACTGCGGCATGCACCCACCGCTGCACGCTGCCCCCGTACCGCTCTCGCACCAGCTGCATCAGCCGTGAAAAGACTGGGGAGGAGAAGAGAGTGGGGAGGGGAAAGGAAAAGGGAATTGCGAGAATGATTAAGGGAGCACACTGCACCGCACTGCACCGCACGCTCATACGCTGCACCGCCCGCTCATACGCTGCACCGCCCGCTCATACGCTGCACCGCACGCTCATACGCTGCACGGCCCGCTCATACGCTGCACCGCCCGCTCATACGCTGCACCGCACGCTCATACGCTGCACGGCCCGCTCATACGCTGCACCGCACGCGCATACGCTGCACCACTCGCTCATACGCTGCACCGCACGCTCATACACTGCACCGCACGTGCATACGCTGCACCGCACGCTCATACGCTGCACCGCCCGCTCATACGCTGCACCGCCCGCTCATACACTGCACCGCACGCTCATATGCTGCACCGCCCGCTCATACGCTGCACCGCACGCCCATACGCTGCCCCGCACACTCATACGCTGCACCGCACGCTCATACGCTGCCCGCACGCTCATACGCTGCACCGCACGCGCATACGCTCCACCACTCGCTCATACGCTGCACCGCACGCTCATACGCTGCACCGCCCGCTCATACGCTGCACCGCTTGCGCATACGCTGAACCGCCCGCTCATACGCTGCAGCGCCCGCTCATACGCTGCACCGTCCGCTCATACGCTGCACTGCCCGCTCATACGCTGCACCGCCCGCTCATACACTGCACCGCACGCTCATACGCTGCACCGCCCGCTCATACGCTGCACCGCACGCCCATACGCTGCCCCGCACACTCATACGCTGCACCGCCCGCTCATACGCTGCACCGTCCGCTCATACGCTGCACCGCCCGCTCATACGCTGCACCGCACGCTCATACGCTGCCCGCACGCTCATACGCTGCACCGCACGCGCATACGCTCCACCACTCGCTCATACGCTGCACCGCACGCTCATACGCTGCACCGCCCGCTCATACGCTGCACCGCTTGCGCATACGCTGAACCGCCCGCTCATACGCTGCAGCGCCCGCTCATACGCTGCACCGCCCGCTCATACGCTGCACCGTCCGCTCATACGCTGCACCGCCCGCTCATACGCTGCACCGCCCGCTCATACGCTGGACCGCCCGCTCATACGCTGCACCGCACGCTCATACGCTGCCCCGCACGCTCATACGCTGCACCACACGCTCATACGCTGCACCGCCCGCTCGTACGCTGCACCGCCCGCTCGTACGCTGCACCGCCCGCTCGTACGCTGCACCGCCCGCTCATACGCTGCACCGCCCGCTCATACGCTGCACTGCCCGCTCATACACTGCACCGCACGCTCATACGCTGCACCGCCCGCTCATACGCTGCACCGCACGCTCATACGCTGCACCGCACGCTCATACGCTGCCCCGCACGCTCATACGCTGCACCGCACGCTCGTACGCTGCACCGCACGCTCGTACGCTGCACCGCCCGCTCGTACGCTGCACCGCCCGCTCATACGCTGCACCGCCCGCTCATACGCTGCACCGCCCGCTCATACGCTGCACTGCCCGCTCATACGCTGCACCGCCCGCTCATACGCTGCACCGCACGCCCATACGCTGCACCGCACGCCCATACGCTGCCCCGCCCGCTCATACGCTGCCCCGTCCGCTCATACGCTGCACCGCCCGCTCATACGCTGCACCGCACGCTCATACGCTGCACCGCCCGCTCATACGCTGCACCGCACGCTCATACGCTGCACCGCACGCTCATACGCTGCACCGCCCGCTCATACGCTGCACCGCCCGCTCATACACTGCACCGCACGCTCATACGCTGCACCGCCCGCTCATACGCTGCACCGCACGCCCATACGCTGCCCCGCACACTCATACGCTGCACCGCACGCTCATACGCTGCCCGCACGCTCATACGCTGCACCGCACGCGCATACGCTCCACCACACGCTCATACGCTGCACCGCCCGCTCATACGCTGCACCGCCCGCTCATACACTGCACCGCACGCTCATACGCTGCACCGCCCGCTCATACGCTGCACCGCACGCCCATACGCTGCCCCGCACACTCATACGCTGCACCGCACGCTCATACGCTGCACCGCCCGCTCATACGCTGCACCGCACGCCCATACGCTGCCCCGCACACTCATACGCTGCACCGCCCGCTCATACGCTGCACCGTCCGCTCATACTCTGCACCGCCCGCTCATACGCTGCACCGCACGCTCATACGCTGCACCGCACGCCCATACGCTGCACCGCACGCGCATACGCTCCACCACTCGCTCATACGCTGCACCGCACGCTCATACGCTGCACCGCACGCTCATACGCTGCACCGCTTGCGCATACGCTGAACCGCCCGCTCATACGCTGCAGCGCCCGCTCGTACGCTGCACCGCCCGCTCATACGCTGCACCGTCCGCTCATACGCTGCACCGCCCGCTCATACGCTGCACCGCCCGCTCATACGCTGGACCGCCCGCTCATACGCTGCACCGCACGCTCATACGCTGCCCCGCACGCTCAGACGCTGCACCGCACGCTCATACGCTGCACCGCCCGCTCGTACGCTGCACCGCCCGCTCGTACGCTGCACCGCCCGCTCGTACGCTGCACCACCCGCTGATACGCTGCACCGCCCGCTCATACGCTGCACCGCACGCTCATACGCTGCACCGCACGCCCATACGCTGCCCCGCACACTCATACGCTGCACCGCACGCTCATACGCTGCCCGCACGCTCATACGCTGCACCGCACGCGCATACGCTCCACCACACGCTCATACGCTGCACCGCCCGCTCATACGCTGCACCGCCCGCTCATACACTGCACCGCACGCTCATACGCTGCACCGCCCGCTCATACGCTGCACCGCACGCCCATACGCTGCCCCGCACACTCATACGCTGCACCGCACGCTCATACGCTGCACCGCCCGCTCATACGCTGCACCGCACGCCCATACGCTGCCCCGCACACTCATACGCTGCACCGCCCGCTCATACGCTGCACCGTCCGCTCATACTCTGCACCGCCCGCTCATACGCTGCACCGCACGCTCATACGCTGCACCGCACGCCCATACGCTGCACCGCACGCGCATACGCTCCACCACTCGCTCATACGCTGCACCGCACGCTCATACGCTGCACCGCACGCTCATACGCTGCACCGCTTGCGCATACGCTGAACCGCCCGCTCATACGCTGCAGCGCCCGCTCGTACGCTGCACCGCCCGCTCATACGCTGCACCGTCCGCTCATACGCTGCACCGCCCGCTCATACGCTGCACCGCCCGCTCATACGCTGGACCGCCCGCTCATACGCTGCACCGCACGCTCATACGCTGCCCCGCACGCTCAGACGCTGCACCGCACGCTCATACGCTGCACCGCCCGCTCGTACGCTGCACCGCCCGCTCGTACGCTGCACCGCCCGCTCGTACGCTGCACCACCCGCTGATACGCTGCACCGCCCGCTCATACGCTGCACCGCCCGCTCATACACTGCACCGCCCGCTCATACGCTGCACCGCACGCTCATACGCTGCACCGCCCGCTCATACGCTGCACCGCACGCTCATACGCTGCACCGCACGCTCATACGCTGCCCCGCACGCTCATACGCTGCACCGCACGCTCGTACGCTGCACCGCACGCTCGTACGCTGCACCGCCCGCTCGTACGCTGCACCGCCCGCTCATACGCTGCACCGCCCGCTCATACGCTGCACCGCCCGCTCATACGCTGCACCGCCCGCTCATACGCTGCACCGCCCGCTCATACGCTGCACCGCACGCCCATACGCTGCACCGCACGCCCATACGCTGCCCCGCCCGCTCATACGCTGCCCCGTCCGCTCATACGCTGCACCGCCCGCTCATACGCTGCACCGCACGCTCATACGCTGCACCGCCCGCTCATACGCTGCACCGCACGCTCATACGCTGCACCGCACGCTCATACGCTGCACCGCTCGCTCATACGCTGCACCGCACGCTCATACGCTGCACCGCCCGCTCATACGCTGCACCGCCCGCTCATACGCTGCACCGCTTGCTCATACGCTGCACCGCCCGCTCATACGCTGCACCGCCCGCTCATACGCTGCACCGCCCGCTCATACGCTGCACCGCCCGCTCATACGCTGGACCGCCCGCTCATACGCTGCACCGCACGCTCATACGCTGCCCCGCACGCTCATACGCTGCACCGCACGCGCATACGCTGCACCACACGCTCATACGCTGCACCGCACGCTCATACGCTGCACCGCCCGCTCATACGCTGCACCGTCCGCTCATACGCTGAACCGCCTGCTCATACGCTGCACCGCACGCTCATACGCTGCACCGCCCGCTCATACGCTGCCCCGCACGCTCATACGCTGCACCGCCCGCTCATACGCTGCACCGCACGCTCATACGCTGCCCCGCACGCTCATACGCTGCCCCGCACGCTCATACGCTGCACCGCCCGCTCATACGCTGCACCGTCCGCCCATACGCTGCACCGCCCGCCCATACGCTGCACCGCACGCTCATACGCTGCACCGCCCGCTCATACGCTGCCCCGCACGCTCATACGCTGCACCGCCCGCTCATACGCTGCACCGCACGCTCATACGCTGCCCCGCACGCTCATACGCTGCCCCGCACGCTCATACGCTGCACCGCCCGCTCATACGCTGCACCGTCCGCTCATACGCTGCACTGCCCGCTCATACGCTGCACCGCGCGCTCATACGCTGCCCGCACGCTCATACGCTGCACCGCACGCGCATACGCTCCACCACTCGCTCATACGCTGCACCGCACGCTCATACGCTGCACCGCCCGCTCATACGCTGCACCGCCCGCGCATACGCTGAACCGCCCGCTCATACGCTGCACCGCACGCTCATACGCTGCACCGCACGCTCATACACTGCACCGCCCGCTCATACGCTGCACCGCCCGCTCATACGCTGCACCGCACGCTCATACGCTGCACCGCACGCTCATACGCTGCACCGCCCGCTCATACGCTGCACCGCATACGCATACGCTGCACCACTCGCTCATACGCTGCATCGCCCGCTCATACGCTGCACCGCCCGCTCATACGCTGCACCGCCCGCTCATACGCTGCACCGCCTGCTCATACGCTGCACCGCACGCGCATACGCTGCACCACTCGCTCATACGCTGCACCACACGCTCGTACACTGCACCGCACGCGCACACTCTGCACCGCACGCTCATACGCTGCACCGCCCGCTCGTACGCTGCACCGCACGCTCATACGCTGCACCGCCCGCTCATACGCTGCACCGCACGCTCATACGCTGCACCGCACGCTCATACGCTGCACCGCACGCTCATACGCTGCACCGCACGCTGCACCGCACGCGCATACGCTGCACCGCACGCGCATACGCTGCACCGCACGCGCATACGCTGCACCGCCCGCTCGTACGCTGCACCGCCCGCTCGTACGCTGCACCGCCCGCTCCTACGCTGCACCGCCCGCTCATACGCTGCACCGCCCGCTCATACGCTGCACCGCACGCTCATACGCTGCCCCGCACGCTCATACGCTGCACCGCCCGCTCGTACACTGCACCGCACGCGCATACGCTGTACCGCACGCTCATACGCTGCACCGCCCGCTCGTACGCTGCACCGCACGCTCATACGTTGCACCGCACGCTCATACGCTGCACCGCACGCTCATACGCTGCACCGCCCGGTCACACGCTGCCCCGCACGCTCATACGCTGCCCCGCACGCTCATACGCTGCACCGCCCGCTCATACGCTGCACCGCACGCTCATACGCTGCACCGCACGCTCATACGCTGCACCACCCGCTCATACGCTGCACCGCACGCGCATACGCTGCACCGCACGCGCATACGCTGCACCGCCCGCTCGTACGCTGCACCGCCCGCTCGTACGCTGCACCGCCCGCTCCTACGCTGCACCGCCCGCTCATACGCTGCACCGCCCGCTCATACGCTGCACCGCACGCTCATACGCTGCCCCGCACGCTCATACGCTGCACCTCCCGCTCGTACACTGCACCGCACGCGCATACGCTGTACCGCACGCTCATACGCTGCACCGCCCGCTCGTACGCTGCACCGCACGCTCATACGTTGCACCGCACGCTCATACGCTGCACCGCACGCTCATACGCTGCACCGCCCGGTCACACGCTGCCCCGCACGCTCATACGCTGCCCCGCACGCTCATACGCTGCACCGCCCGCTCATACGCTGCACCGCACGCTCATACGCTGCACCGCACGCTCATACGCTGCACCACCCGCTCATACGCTGCACCGCCCGCTCATACGCTGCACCGCCCGCTCATACGCTGCACCGCCCGTTCATACGCTGCACCGTCCGCTCATACGCTGCACCGCACGCTCATACGCTGCAGCACATGTCAGATTACCATCCTCATTGTAACCTACATCAACCTTATAAGCTTAGGTTAGAGATAGCCACCCAAACTTAGTTTGGGTGTAGAACTATGGCTAACCCTAGTTGGGGGGTTGGAACTCAAACCTTGGCCCCCAAGGTTGGGTTGGGAATTATTGGTCTCCCCAATAATGTTGAACCACTTGGTCAACATTATTGGTCCCCCCAATAATCCCTCAACCCAACTTATTGGTGGGGGCCAATAATGTTGGCTTGGTTCCAACCAACCCCCCCCCCCCCCCCCCCCCCCCCTAGCACTACTATGTATACCCCCATGTCTCCTAATGAAATCAATGGTTCTTCCTCACGTTTTCTCACAGCGCACGCTCATACGCTGCACCGCACTCTCATACTTTGTACCGCCCGCTCATACGCTGCACCGCACGCTCATACGCTGCACCGCCCGCTCATACGCTGGACCGCCCGCTCATACGATGCACCGCCCGCTCCTACGCTGCACCGCCCGCTCCTACGCTGCACCGCACGCTCATACGCTGCCCCACCCCCTCATACGCTGCACCGCACGCTCATACGCTGCCCCACCCCCTCATACGCTGCACCGCCCGCTCCTACGCTGCACCGCCCGCTCATACGCTGCACCGCCCGCTCCTACGCTGCACCGCCCGCTCCTACGCTGCACCGCCCGCTCCTACGCTGCACCTCACGCTCATACGCTGCACCGCACGCTCATACGCTGCACCGCACGCTCATACGCTGCACCGCACGCTCATACGCTGCACCGCACGCTCATACGCTGCACCGCCCGCTCATACGCTGCACCGCCCGCTCCTACGCTGCACCGCACGCTCATACGCTGCACCGCGCGCTCATACGCTGCACCGCACGCTTATACGCTGCACCGCCCGCTCATACGCTGGACCGCCCGCTCCTACGCTGCACCGCACGCTCATACGCTGCACCGCGCGCTCATACGCTGCACCGCACGCTTATACGTTGCACCGCACGCTCATAAACTGCACCGCCCGCTCATACGCTGGACCGCTTATGTGCTAGTAGCGTCTTAGCGTCCCCAAACCCATACAATCTACCGCAGTGTTTGTTCGTACCCCCATGCTCTCTGTAGCACTGAGGCATAACACCCTGCTTCCCATGGCATGCCATGACGACACACGTACCAGCAGCATCAATGTCAACCCTATTACCCTACCCATGGCATGACATGACGACACACGTACCAGCAGCATCCATGTCAACTTGCAGCCGCCTTGTTGACTTTTGGGTCGACTCAAAAGTCGCCTCGTTACAATGAAACCCATACCCTGCTCCCATCACGACACACGTACCAGCAGCATCAATGTCAACCCTATTACCCTACCCCCATGCTCCCATGCCATGGCAACACACGTACCAGCAGCATCCATGTCGACTTGCAGCCGCCTTGTTCCCCCTGCCGCACCCACATGCACATCCCTACCCTCCTGCACTCTACTTAACCCTCCCCTCTGCCCCTGCTGCTGTTGCTGCTGGTCTTGCTGCCTCGCCAAGCCTCCTCTCATCTGCGCTCTCTCTGCTTCTGCTTCCACTGTTCGCGCTCCCCCTGCCTGCTGCGTCCCCTCTGCCTGCGCCAGCTGCTGCAGCTGCTGGCCTAAGGCCAAGGGCAGAAAGCTCTGCACGGATGCCCTGCTGTGGGCTGCTGCGATATTGGTTGCCCCAGCACCAGTTGCCATGCCACTGTCACTGCCGTTGCCGTTGCCATTGCCATTGCCATTGCCATTGCATTCCGCCTCTTGCTCCTGCAGTGGCGGTGCAACCAGGATGGCAGGAGCAGTGTGCGGATGGGCCACCTGATGATGTGCATGAGTATGCGCATGGGCGTGGGCGTGGGTATCAGCACGGGATGGCATGTGCTGTTGAGCGGGTTGGAACGGCGCATGGCGGTCAGGCACATGCTGCTGCTGCTGATCACCATGCATGCAATGCTGCTCATGCTGCACATGCTGCACATGATGCGGATAGTGCATCTGCTCAAGCTCCTGGCCCTCGTTACAGCCTCCATGCTGTTGCTGCTCTTCCTGCTGCTCTTCCTGCTGCTCTTGCTGATGCTGATGATGATCGTGATCCCCACCGTCATTGGCAATCCCAAGGTCGCCTTCAGGCCGCCCGTACAGCATAACAGCATACTCCAACACCCCTTCTGCATCTGCCACTCCCCCCATCCCTTCCCCTCCCCCCATCGCATCTGGACCGTCCATTCCGTGCACCTCCTCCCCGCCAATCCCAAGGTCCTCTACAGTGATTTCATCATCATCATCACCATAAGCATCATCATTATCATAAACATTATCATTATCATTATTATCACCACCATCACCACCACCAACACTATCAGCATCATCATCATCATAATCCCCACAACCATCACCATCACCACCGTCGCCTGCAACAGCAGCAGCAGCATCTCTCCCTGTAAGCTCATCATCCTGTGCTGCCATCCCATCACCCCGCACTGCCGCTGTCCCGCCATTCCCCACCGCAAAGCCACGCCCCTCCTCCCCCTCCCCCTCCCCTTCTTCCTCCCCCTCTCCCCCCTCCTCTCTTCCCTCGTTATCACACTCGGCTGCTCCTCTCGCATCTACACCATTCGCCTCTAAGTGGTCCGCAGCTTCCCTCTCTTCCCCCAGTTCCCCCCGGCCCCTCCCTTCTTCCGCGCTACGCTCCGCTCCCCCATGCTCCGAATACCCCGGATCGCGCAGCGCCGCTGCTCCGCCATTCAGTGCGCGCGCGCTGTCCCCGCGTCCCCTCTCCGCGCTCTCCGTGCTTCCGCCACCGCTTCCGCGCGTAAACTGCGGGTCCCGACGGGGGGGCTCGTGAGCCGGGGTTAACGGGGGCGTTCCCCCGTGAAGCGCGGGAATTGCGACGGGAATCGCGCCGGAGTGCGCGACGACTATTCCATCGAGATTGCCGTGCGCCGCGACCGCATACCCCGCGTGGTGCAAGGGGGAAATGTACGGATAGTGGGGGAAGGGGAGATGCGCCAAGTGCGCGTGCGGGTGGGGGAAAAGTTCCCCCGCGGGCGCAAAGTGAGGCGCGAAAGGCGCGGAAAGGGGGAGCGGGGGGAGATGGGGGAGCTGATAGTGGGGGAGGGGGAGATGGTGCGCGTGCGGGGGGAGCGACAGGGGGAGGGAAGTAGGGTGAGGGGGGAAGCTGTTGTGGTGAAGTGGGGGAAAAGCAGGAGATGGATCGTGAGGAAGCTGCGCCATGGCGGAGGGGGAGATGGCGAAGTACGGCTGAGAACTGACTGTGACGCGACCGCCGAGAACCTATCGACGGAAAGCGAACATTACGGCTTGCAGTCCGTGAGGTCACTGGTTGCACATGACTGCATTAACTGAGCGCAGCCGTGCACATGACGTCACTGGGTCGCGGTATGGAGGCTGGTGACAGAATGGTTATGACGAGTCGGCAGGAGAGAAGCGGAATTTTCTCGCTGGTGGTGAGGAGACAAACGTCGCGCAAGTCGGCGACATTACCAGAAGTGCCGGGATGCGACTAGGACTGCCAGTATGCGACAGAAACGCCAGTATGCGACAGAAACGCCAGTACGCAACTCGGACCGCCAGTATGCGACTAGGACTGGCAGAAATCGATAATCTCTAGGTAGAAGAGCAGTGGCATGCGATGTATGGTGCATTGGTGTCCCAGGTTTGTGAACTGTTGCTTATTCTCGTTATAGAGTTGGCCTAACGACACATTAAGACACGAGACATGCTTGAGATCATACAAACATGAATACAACAACCAAGGTGGTACACAAAAGCCTGAATTACTTCTAAGAATCTGACAGACATTGCCACAAGGGAGATTTCTTGGTACTACGCACACAAATTTCTCGTCACACCCCTATCTTCCTAAGCTTGTGAACATTTAGCCTACGATATGCTTTGCAACATACTTCCTTCGAAGCAAATTGCCTGTCTTGGCCCCTTCGACTTCCGATCCTGCTGTTGCAACGTATCCAATCCAAGCCTTACCTCTCATCCCACAAACTATCCACGCCAAACCCGATCTCTTCTTGATTGCGACCTCATTTTGGCCTCAGGGGTTACACGCGCACCCACTGTCACCCATGTGTACAGTATCCAATCATACCCACCCATCAACGACTCTACGTGATGAGCCTGTGGGTGTTCTATCTAGTGGGTGTAGTGGGGGTCCTTGGTGGAGTAGGTGCATCTAGCTCTCCCCCCGCCCCTCCCCCTCCTCTTCTCCCCGCCGCACCGTTCTTTGAGGCGCCTCAAAAGCCGTCTCCTATCTAGTGGGTGTAGTGGGGGTCCTTGGTGGGGTGGGTGTGCCTAGCTCTCCCCCCGCCCCTCCCCCTCCTCTCGCCCCCGCCGCACCATTCCCCTCGTCCCCAATCGGCAGCGTCATCAGCTGCTGCAGAGTCTTGATTAGATTCTCCATCTGCGGCCGCCCGGCCGGATCCTCGTTGATACAGTGCTTCGCGAGAACGAGCAGTTTCTGCGCGCCCACGCGGGAATATTTGTCTTCTAGCCGCTCGTCCATGACTGCGTCGAGATTCGGGCGGCGCTGTGCCACATGTGCGCGCACCCATGTTGTCAGCTTGCAGTCGTCGTTGTCGCCTCCAGACGAGGGAGGCCGGCCGGTGAGAAGCTCGAAGTAAACGACTCCGAGAGCGTAGATGTCACTCTTTGGTGTGAGATGGCCTGGTGGGGGGCAAGGAGTGGGGGGAAAGGGGGGGGCCACGGGGAGGGTACGAGGAGGGCGAGCGGCCAATGAGGAATTAGAAGTTTACCACTCCGAGAGCATAGATGCCACTCGTTGGGGTGAGATGGCCTGGTGGGGGCAATTGGGATTGGGTGAGCGTGGGGGTTGTGGGAAGGGGGGTGTGAGGCAGAAGGCAGGGCGGTGAGGAGTTCAAAGTAGACCGCTCCGACAACCCCCCACGCTCCCCCAACTCCGAGCGCGTACATGTTGCTCTTCGGCAGGGGCAAGGAAGAGGGGGGTGGGGGGCGTTGTGAAGGTGAGGAAGGCATGTATGCGGAAAGCCAGCCGACGAAAACCACAGATCTCGCTCAAAGTATACCGCTCGTCAACGTGAACAACTTGGGAAGGATCTGATGAGCATAGATGCCGGTCTTTGGAGTGAGATGGCCTGATGGCGATAAGGAGGATAGGATAGGAAGGCTGGTGGTGTGAGGGCCGGATGCAATGCAAGGAATGACACGTGGAGGAGGGAGACGATGGCAATACCTGTCTCGAGGTACTTGGGGTCGAGGTAGTATCCCATGGTGCCCATGACGCGAGTGGGTGCGTCTACCTTGACTAATGCAGCGCCTCAAAGAGGGTGCACAGGGGAAGTGGGACACAGTAGACCCAGCGTACCTGTCTCGAGGTACTTGGGGTCAAGGTACCCCATGGTGCCCATGACTCGCGTGGAGATGTGCGTCTGCCCTGACTCCGGCCCCATGGTCGCCATGCCAAAGTCCGTCAGCTTCGCCCGCATCTCCTGCAGTGCCATGCATGGGTGGTTCGTTCGTGTAGGGCAGGATGGAGGATGGCAGGAGGAAGGGGGGAGGAGAGAGGCGGAGTTGAGTCACTACCTCTCAGGAAAGTTCCTCTAGTATAGAGGCACTCAATGCTGCCCCCTTGACTCCGTCCGACTCAATGTCAGCTTTTCTCGCATGTACTGCCATGCCATGGGTGGTGCACGGGCAGCAGGGGGCAGGAGGAAGGGGGGAGGAGAGAGAGTGGAGAGTTTATTCACTACATTCCGGGACAGTTTTGTTGAAAGAGGCACCCCTTAGTGTCCCTGAATCTGGCCCCATGGTCGCCATGCCAGAGACCGTCAGCTTCGCCCACAAATCCTGCCATGCCATGGGTGGTGCATGGAGGGGAGCACGGCCAGAGGAGGAAGGTGTGAAGAAGGCTGGAGGAGAGGAGGAGGAGATGAATCGAGACATACCTCAAGTAGGTCCGGTTGCTCATTCTGAGAAAAGGACACTTACCATATCACACTGCACCCCACCACATCCCCCCGCATCCCACCGCATCCCACCGCATCCCACCGCATTCCACCGCAGCGCACCGTATCGAGCAGCACGTTGCAGGACTTGAAGTCGCGGTGAATGACGTTCTCCGAGTGCAGATACGCCAGGCCCTGTGTGGCGTCCAGTGCTATCCGCACGCGCTCCTCCCACGTGAGCGCCCGGTGCTTGTACTTGCCTGTGTGGTCATCTGGAGGTCGTTGGACAAGGGGTGCGGGGAACGGGGCAGAGTGGGGAGAAGGAAAACCGTGAGGCAATAGGGACTGCAAGTATCTGTCTCTTTAGGTTATTGCACGGGTGCTTGTATTCGCCCGTCCGGTCCCCTGCCATTGGTTCGACAGGGGAGGAAGAGGGGTGACCGGGTGGGAGGATGGGATGGGGATGGAGGGTAGGGAGCAGGATAAAGGAAGGCATAGGGCAGTCAAGACACGAGGAGGGGAGAGGAAAGGAGGGGAGGAGAGGCGAGGAGGAGAGGTGAGGAGAGGAGAGGCGAGGAGGAGGGGTGAGGAGAGGAGAGAAGAGGAGAGGAGAGGAGAGGAGAGAAGAGGAGGACAAGAGAAGAGCCCACAGGAGAGGGAAGGAGAGGAGCAGAGCAGCAGCACTTGGGGAAGAGGCAAGAGTGGGGGTTGGGAGTACCTGGAAAAAGCCAGGAGTCGAGGCTCCAACAGTGCCTCGTCCCTGTCCGTGCTGTGTGCGCCAAAAGGTAAACAGACGAGATGAAGGCGTGCTGTGTGTGTTCAAACCCCTCACACCCCACCTGGGAAGAGCCAGGAGTCGAGGCTGCCATTCTCCAGAAGCTCGTACACCAGCACTGCCTCGTCCCTGTCCGTGCTGTACCCCAGCAGCCGCACCAGATTCGGGTGCTGTAGCCGCCCCAGTAACAGTACCTCCGCCTGCAGATAAAAAGGAGAGAGGGAGAGAAGGGGAACGGGGTGAGTGGAGCCTCGTCCCTGTCCGTGCTGTACCCCTACTGCTGCAGGTGGCCAAGCAGCAGCACATCCGCCTGCACATGGGAAGGAGTGAGGGTGAGACGGAGGCGGGGAGAGGAGGGGACAGGGAGAGAGGCGCACCGAGCTTCGTCATTGTCTGCAGGAGCCCCAGAAACAGTAGCTCAGCACAACCTGGGGACACCCTCCTCTTCCAATGACCACCCTCCTCCCTCCCAATCACACCCACCCTCCCCCCCTCTCACCATCCACTCGCCGAAGCCCTGGAAGCTCTCCTCATCCAGCATCTTGACGGCCAGGGGCCGCTTCTCACCAGACCTCTCGTCCCCCCCATCCCCCCGGCCCCCTTTTTTCCCTCTCTCCACCATACTTCCCCCGCCCTCTCACCATCCACTCGCCGAAGCCCTGGAAGCTCTCTTCATCCAGCATCTCTCCCCAATACCTCTCGCCCCCCTTTGCCCCCCCCGCCTTTTTTTCCCCTCTCTCCCCAATATCCCCTCTCCCCCTCTGTCACTCACCATCCACTCGCCGAAGCCCTGGAAGCTCTCCTCGTCCAGCATCTTGACGGCGAGCGGGCGCTTCTCCCCCTTGGGCAGCTCGCCCATCCACTCCTCCATGGCTCCGCGGTACACCTTGCCGAAGCTGCCCGCGCCCAGCACGCTCTCATCGCGGAACCGGTTGGTGGCGGCCTGCAGCTCCTTGTACGTGAAGCGCCGGAGGTTGGACGCTAGGATTGACTGCTCTCCGCCGGTCCCATCCGTGGATTCTGCGAGGGGAGGAGCGGGGAGGAGGGGGAGGAGCGGGGAGCAGAATGCAGCAGGAGGGGGAGGGGTCGTGGAACCGGTTGGTGGCGGCCTGCAGCTCCTTGTATGTGAAGCGCCGCAGGTTGGAGGCTAGGATGGATTGTTCTCCGCCGGTCCCATCCGTGGATTCTGGGCGGGAGGAAGTGGGGAGGGGAGGAGGGGAGGGAGGGGAGGAGGGGAGGATGGGAGAAGGGGAGGGAGGGGAGACGGGGGAAGAGGGGGGAAGGAATGCAGGAAGCGGTTGGTGGCGGCCTGTAGCTCCTTGTACGTGAAGCGACGGAGGTTGGACGCTAGGATCGACTGCTCGCCGCCGTTGCCGTCCGTGGGTTGCTCTGAATGGGCGGGCGGGGGAGATGGGGGGAAGAGCGGGGGAGCCGGATGCAGGGGGGGAGGGGGAGAGGTCGAGGAAGCGGCCTGCTTCGCATGCCCAGCGTGTCTCCGCGCGTGCTTGGAATAAATGCTGTATTGTACAGTTAAATGCCTTTTTTTATTTCGCACACCTAGCATTGCGTGATTCCTTATCCGGCATCCGTCGCTGACGGCGTGCCTCTTTTCATTGCAAGCACGACATTCATGGCAACCATGGCATTCAAGACTTGCGTGTTATTCGACTCGCGTACCTGACATCACATCCATACAATTCATGACATTCATGACATTCATGGCATTCATGACATGCGCCTTGCGTACCTGACATCCATGGCTGGCTGCTCTTGCTGCTCTTGCTGTTGCTGTTCCTGGTGATTTTGATCGATTGCTCCTCTATACTCAGGCAGCACCCCATGCCGCTTCGTCTCCCTCCTAACGAAAACACCCCTAAGCTGCTAAGTGACCGGCGATAGTGCTTCTACGAGTTAAGCCGTATCCATGTCGCATGGACCGGCGAAACTGCCGTACACGATCAGAGCTGGCTCTTGAATAATTATTCTATTCTTGATAGGTATTGGAAATGTCCAGCCGAGAACGAAACGCGCGAAGCAGATAAATATGTCGAACACGCGAAACAGCTCTAACCTACGACCTAACTTGGCGGTTAGCTTTATATGTACCTGGCACTAACGCCGGCTTGCACAGGGTCATCTCAGGCGGAAAATGCTACCCAACGCAAAAAATGCTTCCTACCTACCGACCGAACCAAACAAATACTCGTGACTGACTGATCAATGCAAGCTCGAATGCTACACCAGCGGGAACTAGAAACTCGGGAAAAAAATATCCGTCGAAATGTCCCTAACTAGCTGGCCTCGCGAACGCAGTCAGACATACGCCATTGCTCCGACGCGCAAGACGCTCCCATGCGTAGCCGCAGCCTTGAGTGCTTTTGTGGAGGGGAGGGAGGGAAACGGGTGCGCTTGGCGTGGTGTGAGAGGCGAGGCAACAAGACAACACGTATGTGCAGTTTGCACAAACAGAGAAACCCAACCCAACACAGAACACGGACGGACACGGCATCTATGCGTTGCAGCAGACAAGAACAGTGAAGGCCAGAAAACGTCACGGCTGAATGACAGAGACTGTTAGCAAGACTGCTGTGCTGTCACTGCCTCCGACAGTGCTGCTTCGGGCAACTGTAGAGCTGTTACCAGGTTATATAATTCGCTTATCATGACAAACTACATTTCACATGGTGTTGATATACCTACAGCTAAACCATGCATAACACCATTGGTTTCCAGCAGACACATTGTTTCAGAAGCAAACCAGGCCAACCATTAATCACAAAACGAGTTGAACTAGAAACGCTCAATTGGCAGCTTTCAATTTCTTGTCATTGCGCCTGCGCTTTCTGCACTCCCTCTCATCCTCCCCATACTCTTTTTTCTTCATTGCTCCCCACAGCCCATCCAACGCCCCCTTGGCTGCCTCCCTGGCCACTGCTGCCACATCCCCAGTCACAGACCACTGCAAAGCAGCCAATAGATCCTTGCCACCTGGCACTTCCCCATCAGCCAACACTTGATACTTCATATCCACTGAAGCCCCTTCAACTGCTCCCCCCAATGCTCCAGTGGCATCAGCAGCAGCATTTCCAACAGTCTTTTCAGCAGCAGCATGAGCGGCTGGAGGGGCAACACTCAGGACTAGAACACGAGCAACTGCAGCAAGGGCTATCCGGGCAGCAGTGGCAGCAGCTGCTGCCTCAGCTTCTGGAGTCACAACACTGTCGTCACTCGGAAGGGACTCTGCAGCTCCTGCTACAGTCCAAATCTTGCCATCCGGAGCAAAGGCAAGGCTGGTGGCTGACACTCCATCGTTGAGCATGATGCACTGCAACATGACAACGTGGAGCAAGGGGCGGGATGTTCAAAAGGCTAGCAAGGGAAACGGCACTGCTGCAAGCAACCAGTGCAAGGATGATACAGCTGCAACTGTAATCAGCATGTGGATCGTGAAGTGAGAAGCAGAGCGGGAAGGATGCACAGCCCACACACAGCATCACAGCAGAGCAAACATACCAGCACACTCACTCCCCTCCAGACACACACCCGCCTTAATGAAAAGGCAGTGGGAGGAGGGGAATGAGCGAACCAACGTGCCCGTCTAACCATGAGCAAATGGGCGGCAAGCCGCGTCTGCTTCTATCTGCACGAGCCTCCCTCCGGACCTCGGCAACAGGCCCGGAGCCCCTTCTTGCGAAGGAACCAACCGGACCTGCGCCAAGCCTGCAAGGGGCTTATTTGGCGCAGTTATGACTCGAAATCCTTCCATGGGTGCGCCTGGCTCTGCCCCCGAGGGGGAGAGGCGCAGGCAGCACGGATAGGCGCTCTCAAGGACTGCGCGGGGGGGGGGAGACTGATGCCTGCCAAAGGGACTCGGCAACTCGTTTCCACATGTGTATGACCGACTGACAGACAGGAAGAAAATGAAAACGGCATCGAAAAGAAGAGGTTGAGAACGCACCTGACCGAGTTGCAGTGTGCTCGCGGAAGGGTCGAATCGGAGCAGACAAACGCGTGGCACGCTGAAAAGAAAAGCGGGAAGTGAGAGCAAAAACAGGGAAGGAACGGGCACGGATGGGGGAGGCGCTGTTAGAGGAGAGCATGCGGAAAGGAACGGAAAAGTCACCAACGGTTGGTCAGCATCGCCTTGCAGACCTGCTTATACAGTCTGAAACACACAAATGCTGGCAAGCTCGCATTGCATAGCACATACCCGGCAACAGCTCCAGCGACCAAACAACCACTCGGATCGACCGCCACTGCTACCAGCGACGAACCATCCGCTGTTGATCCTGCCTTCCCACCCCTGCTTCCCCCCGCATCTTCTTCAGGATTAGCTACACCCTCGGTCTCCGCCGTGCCTCCCGCCTCTGCTTCCGCTTGTTCTCCGCGCGCACCCGCGGAGTCCACCGCCATGGGGGAAGGTCCTTCCGCCTGCGCAGGCGTGGGCGGAGGCGGCATGCGCAGCACCTGAAGGCAGCGGCCGTCTACAGGGTCCCACAGGCGCACCTGCGATAGCAGAGAGACGAGAACCACAGGTTGCAAGAAGCCACGTCAGTTATCAGGGTTCGGAAGTCGAGAGGGGGGAACCAAACGTCAAGAGCAAACCCACGACTCGGCAACCCCGCGCAGGACGGAAAAAGGGCGAGGAAGCACTGACCGTTGCATCAGCCGCGGCGGAAAGAAGCAGCTGCTGCGAACCATCGCCAGCTGCGACGGCGCCGTCAGTCTCGCTGTGCTTGGCTGATGCAGGCTCACCGACAAAGGCCAGTGCTGTAAGGAAACTGGCGAAGGGTAGGCATTCGAGTCGAAGGGTAGCAAAAACGGCAAGAGAACAAAGAAATCAATGGGGGTTAATTAATACAAGGAAATAAAAAGTGGGCAATAGCAACGTATCAATGGCGATCTCGGGGGAAATAGCGGAAGGAAAGCGTTACAGCACAGAGGTGACCTTGAGCATGCTCGGGTACCGGACACAAATGCCATAGCAACGTACCCTGTATGTCCGAGGCAGAAGCTCTGGATCTCATGCGCGCCTTCCAGAGGATGGTCCGGGAACACGGACACCTGTGAGAGAGTGGACATATACGAAAGCAACTCAGCAAGAACATTTTAATGAGAAACACGATCTAATCTGATCCAGCCATGAGGAGAGAGGAAAACAAAGCAGGTAATTCTCAGACCACACAAGCCCTGAATCAGCACTGGGTACCACAACGCACCTACACGAATCTTTCCGTCCCGATCGCCGGTAGCGATGAAGCGATTGCCGTGCGACACCGCCTGCAACAGTAAGTCGGGTAACAAAAGAGAAAACCACAGGACAGACCTCTAAAATGAACTCTTCGATTTGAAAAGAATTTTGCAGAATAAAACACAGAAACTGAAGGGCCTAGCAGATGCACGAAATGAAGCAACATGTTAGTATTATTTGCTCGAAAATGCATGGACGCACGAGGCAGGTGATGATGCTGCAGCAGTGGCCCAGCAGCTGCTTCGCTGTCTCCACCGCTCGCTTGCCTTCGCCTCCTCCTCCGTTCTGCGCAGCGAGGTCGGCCGGCGACGGCACGGCGAGAGCGTGAACGACGCCGAACTTGTCGGCGAAGAGCAGCCAGCGACCGTCGCTGCTGAACCCCATGGCGCTCACTCGCTTCGATACCTTTCTGATAAAAGAATAAGACGAATTCAAGCAATACATAACAAACAAACAAAAAGGATGATAAGAGATTTTGCTATCAAGAAAAACGCATCATCTGGAACGACGCACATTAAGAATGTTGGTACAAAAGTACTCCAAATCTGACTTCTAAAACTTCACTTACTCTTTATGACAGCAGATCCAGCTGTTTGACGGCGACTGCTCCTCCCTGACCCAGAGGTAGACGATCTTATCGTCGCCCGCCGTCGCCATGACACGGCCGGTAGGGTCCACGCACATGGCTCGCACGGCGTCGCCATGAGACACCGCCTGCTCCGCACCGTCGCTGCTCTTGAACGAGACCGCCGAACCCGAACTGCATAAAAGAAAATGTGACGCCTTTAGGAATTAGCCACCTTGAGCCACTTGGAATTCGTCAACACAATAACATGGCCTGGACGATAAAGGCCCGAGATTATCTGGTGCTATAACTTTAGATCAATTACCTAATATCGAAGCCTCGGACAGCGGCACCCGCGGTGGCAAAGACAGGCGAGCCTGACGGGTGAAGCGCGAGGAGAGACGGAGCCAGCGAGCCTGTCTTCTTGCCTCCACTCCCCGCGTCGTCTTCGCCCGCTTCTTCAACACCCGCTTCCTCCTGCACCTCGCACGCGTCGCCTCCGGTACCCATCTTATCAGGCCTCTCCTCTTCACCTGTTGGCCGCTCGGCCTCCATTAGACTAGGATGGTGGCGCTCCTACCAAACACGGACCTGGTCTGACTACGCTCTTGAAGACCTCTTTTCCTTACAGTTGGTGTCTCGAGATTTGGTGGTCGGGGACTGCTGGGGGGGTGAGAGGGTGGTTGCCTCGCATTATTCTGAATAAGCAGCCCATCAGTGTACGAAATGCTAAGACGTCATTAACTGCAGTACTTTAGAATCTTCCCACATGTATGCACTACCAAGCATAAGAAGCCATTGTACCATATATTTGTACTTCTTAAAGCCGGAAGCCCAAATTGCACAAGTTTTAAAAGGATGACGCGAGGGGTTTTTCCTGGTTTGGGTTTTGGCGAGTGATTCTGATTTCGGGCATTTCGTTTTTTTCGCCAAACCCAGCCAGCCCACGTATTTCGCCCTGGGGGTTGTGTCAGCACCCGAAAGTCCCAAATTGCAGGTGCGCTACTTTTCAAAGCTTGCACACTGCACTTCTTCAAGTTTTAAAAGCATGACCCACGCGCCTCGCAATTTGGGACTCGGGCTTTATAACCCGAGGTCCACAGCTTTCAATGGTAGGAAGGTTGGTTGGAAGAAGGGCCTCAACTGGCTCGCGAACTACGGTGGTGTCGAAATAGGTAGAAGCAGGTCGCGGAGTAAGAAAATTTCGCGAGAGTTACCACATCTCGAATGCAACTCGTGAAATGTTTCGCTTAGAATTTGGATTAACGGGAAACCATTGCGCGAAATGGTAAACTGCTGTCGTCGTGGGCTGGTACAGTAATTTCGGATCTCGAAATTCGTTCCGACGATTCGCGAAGTAGACTGTTCTCTACTGGGTCACACCCAACCAAAATTAGGAAGGTTGAGGCAGTTTTGGGGAACTTGAGACCCCGGTTTTAAAGTACGCAGCCGAGTACTCATTTTGAAGATATGGTATCCAATATAAAGTTTTGCACAATACTGGATAAATCCTTTTAGGATCATCCCGCTTCCTGTTCCCCCTCCATCTCCTCTCCTCTTGGAAGTTCGTGTTGGAAGTTCACGCTGGAAGTTCCCGCTGGAACTTCGCATTAGAAGTTCGCGTTGGAAGTTAGCATTGAAAGTTCCCGCTGGAAGTTCGCACTCGAAGTTCGTACAGGAAGTCCGCACTGGAATTTCGCGTTGGAAGTTCGCATTGCAAGTTCGCGTTGCAAGTTCGTGTTGGAAGTTTGAGTTGGATGTTGAATTTGGATGTTTGCGCTGGATGATCACGCTGGATATTCGCTGTTCGCGCTCGATGTTCGAGTTGAATGTTCGCGCTCGATGTTCGCGTTGGAAGTTCGATGAGAAAAAGATGGTGAGAACAAGTGGTATGAGAGACGTATGGCGAGAACAAGCGACATGTGAGAGAAGCGAGAACAAGCGACATTCATAGGCGCCGATTATTTCTTTGAGCACGAACCGAGCAAAAAATGCTCATTTAGGTCTATTTGAATATGAACAACCCGAATATGCAATCACATTCAGGTTATTCGATGTTTTTTCCTACACCTATAGGGATTCATGCGCATTCTAAGCATTTGTCGATAAGAACAGCAAGAATCATAGGTGCCGAACTTTTCTTTGAGCGCAAACCGAGCTAAAGATGCTATGATAGGTAATCTTGAACATGAGCCACCCGAATATGCAATGGCATTCATGTTGTTTAATGCCTTTACATACGCCGAAAGGGAATCATCCGCATTCTAAGCATTTGTAGGAAAGGACAGCAAGAATATTAGGCGCCGAACTTTTCTTTGAGCACGAACCGAGCTGAAAATGCTCTGATAGGTGATTTGAGCATGAGCCACCAGAATATGCAATGACATTCAGATCGTTCAATGCTTTTCTGTACGCTTAAAGCTCAAGGCCCAAATTGCGGGCCGCGCGAGGCAAGTTTAGTAAGGTTGATCGAGTGCTGCTTTGCAGCTTTAGCTGGGCGAATTGTGGTTACGAAATGTACGAAGCCATCTGATTGGCCAGAACATTTGAGTCAGCGAATGGAACAGGTGGTGCGGGAAACTGGCAAGAGTAATATTTGTGCAATATGGGACTCGCGCAACCAAACCTGAGCGTCCCCTAGGCTTTGCTGAGTCAGCGAATTTTGTTTTGAGTGTGGCGAGAAGCTGGGCGAAACCAAACCCCTACACCCCTCAAACACCTCGACTTTCCTACTCTGCTTTCCCACCACCCAAGGGTCAACTTTAGTAATCCTGAACAATTTGGGCCTTGAGCTTTAAAGGGATTCATACGCATTCTAAGCATTTGTCGGCAAGAACAGCCAGAATTATAGGCACCGAACTTTTCTTTAAGCACGAACCGAGCTGAAGATGCTCTGATAGGAAATTCTGAGCACGAGCCACCCAAAAATGCAATGACATTCAAGTTGTTCAATGCTTTTCCATACTCCTATAGAGATTCATGCGCAATCTAAGCATTTATCGGCAAGAAACGCCAAAATCAGAGGCGCCAAACTTTTCTTTAAGCACGAACCGAGCTGAAGATGCTCAGATAGGTGATTTTGAACATGAGCCACCCGAATATGCAATGACATTCATGTTGTTCAATGCTTTTACCTATGCCGAAAGGGATTCATGCGCATTCTAAGCATTTGTCGGCAAAACAGCTTTTGGGGACGAAAACGCTCGTGCCGAGCGTTTTTCTTCCGTCCGGTCACGCGGTTGTGTGCCTTTGGACCTATTACCAAGCCAGCAAGAGCGTGGGAGGGTGACGAGCATGATCGGTCATTGGTACTGGCAAATGAACCATGCTTGCTGCATTTTCTGCACATGTGCGGATCCTTCCACGTTTTGGGGATGAAAACGTTCGTTCCGAGCGTTTTTCTTCCGTTCGGTCATGCGGCCGTGTGCGTTTGGACCTATTACCAAGCCAGCAAGAGCGTGGGAGGGTGGCGAGCATGATCGGTCATTTGTGCTGGCGAATGAACCATGCGTGCTGCATTTTCTGCACATGTGCGGATCCTTCCGCTTTTTGGGGATGAAAACGCTCGCTTTGAGCGTTTTTCTTCCGTTCGGTCACGCAGCCGGGTGCGTTTAGACCTATTACCAAGCCAGCAAGAGCGTGGGAAGGTGACGAGCATGATCGGTCATTGGTACTGACGGATGAACCATGCCAGCTGCATTTTCTGCGCATGTACGGATCCTTCCGCGTTTTGGGGATGAAAACGCTCGTTCCGAGCGCTTTTCTTCCGTTCGGTCAAGCGGTCGTGTACGTTTGGACCTATTACCAAGTGAGCAAGAGTGTGGGAGGGTGGCAAGCATGATCGGTCATTTGTGCTGGCGAATGAACCATGCCTGCTGCATTTTCTGCACATGTGCGGATCCTTCCGCTTTTTGGGGATGAAAACGCTCGTTTTGAGTGTTTTTCTTCCGTTCGGTCATGCGGCCGTGTGCGTTTAAACCTATTACCCCAGCCAGCAAGAGCGTAGGAGGGTGACGAGCATGATCGGTCATTGACACTGGCAAATGAACCATGCCAGCTGCATTTTCTGCACATGTATCGATCCTTCCGCGTTTTGGGAACGCTCGTTCCGAGCGTTTTTCTTCCGTTCGCTCACGCGGCTGTGTGCGTTTAGACCTATTACCAAGCCAGCAAGAGCGTGGGAGGGTGGCGAGCATGATCGGTCATTGGTACTGGCGAATGAACCACGCCTGTTGCATTTTCTGCACATGTGCGGATCCTTCCGCGTTTTGGGGATGAAAACGCTCGTACCGAGCGGTTTTTCTTCCGTTCGGTCACGCGGATGTGTGCGTTTGGACCTATTACCAAGCCAGCAAGAGCGTGGGAGGGTGGCGGGCATGATCGGTCATTGGTACTGGCGAATGAACCATGCCTGCTGCATTTTCTGCACATGTACAGATCCATTCGCGTTTTGGGGATGAAAACGCTCGTTCCGAGCGTTTTTCTTCCATGCGGTGTCAAACATTGTATATGTTTGTGTTCTGTAGGCTATAGTGGGTTTAGCCTTAGGGGGTACAACTTCTAGGTTTTCCTACTTGTACTCCCAATGTTGTTAGTTCAATCACTTCTCTCATTCTGACATGGTATTACGAGCCTAGGTTAGGAACCTAGGACCGACCGTTCCTAAGGGCCCACCATTCCGCTAGTAGCGCCCTCATGCGCCCTCTCTTACTCGCGCCCTCGTGCGCCTCGTTCCTAGTGCGCCCTCGCGCGCCCCGTTTTTCGTGCGCGTCGCCCACTAGTCGCCCGCGCGCGGCCCTTTTCTCATGCGCGCGACCCCCTAGCCGCCCACGCGGTCGACGCCGCCCACGTGTAGCCCGCCCTGGCCTCACGCGGCCCCTAGCGCAGCCCTCGTGCTGCCCGTCGACCGGAGTGCGCCGCCGCCTCGCCCTCGTAGGCCGCCGCCCGCACGTAGGCCGCCGCCCACACGTAGGCCGCCGCCTCGAACCGCGCGCCGGCCCACCCTCTCTGCCCGAGCCGCGCCGCGCCGTCCTGCTCGAGCCGTGCCGTCCTGCCCGAGTCGCGCCACCCTGACCGAGCCGCGCTGCCCTACTGTGCACCACCTGCAGCAACTGCTGCTCCTGCTACTGCTACTGCTACTCCTGCTATTGCTACTACTGTTCCTACTGTTGCTACTGCCACTATGGCCAGTCCTACCGTTCTCACTTTTGACGCTGAGGGCCGTCCGATTAAGTTTGACGTTTGGCTCGATGACCTGCACCTGTTCCTCCAGATCACAGCCAAGGATGATGTTTCCCTGTTTGACCACACATCCGGCGTAGCCCCCGCACCTGCTGCTACTGCTGACAGTACAGCTCGCTCACAGTGGCAGACCCGTGATGCTCACGCTCGCCTAGCCGTTCGCAGCCACCTGCCGTTAGATGAGCGCGAGCACTTTGGCCAGCATAAGACAGCTAAGGAGCTGTATGATGCTGTAGTTGCGCGCTACTCCTCCCCTGCTACTGCTGCGATAGGCCGTCTCTCGCTGCCCTATCTTTTCCCCGATCTGTCCGCCT